AATCGATCCAAATATGACCTTATACACGCGCGCGCGCGCGAGCATATATATTCGAGAAGAGAGTATTGATTAATTATATAGAATGTTCGGTGCAGAAAGATTAAGAATCAAGGACATAAATACATGTTTGGGGATGGTCAAAGACAGCCGGAGACGCGAGATTTTATGCAGAAGAAGCGATAGTAGAGGGAGGGGAATTGAAGGCATATTAAGACAAATATATATGCAGCAAAGAGAATTAACTGGGAAGGGGGGGAAATTGAAGAAAGATGGTGGGAGGAAAGGAAGGCATACCAGGTGGAGGATGCAGGAGGGATGGGAAGAAGTGCAGAATGAGATATTGACGCGGCTCAATTAAACTACATGGTTACTTTTCAAGTCTTAACCACGTCTTCAAATTGAGGCGCGCCAATACCTTGTTCTATGATCACAGCACTTTCCGACTCCCACTTTGCTTCCCAATTCGATCACGAGCCGCACAGATAGAAGTGCATCCATCAGATCAGAGCAAGCACGATGGAATTGATTGGGATTTTAATTTCTTCGTCTGATGAAAGGTCGACGATGTGTATGTATATGGACGATGCCTGACGCAGCAGATGAGAAAACCCTACATCATAACCTGAGGATGGGATGGATCTTGTTTGAAGAAAAAATCCTTTTGAAGCTGTAATCTGAAATGCTGCGTGTGGGGAAGCAAAAGAGCTTTAAATCATAAAAACCTTCTCATTTGTGCTTACATGTTGACCCCCTATTCATTTCTGCATCTTCCACGAAACCCACCTCCATCGCCCTCCATATGTAGGGTATGGGGACCCCACTCTTCCTTCACATTTATGGCCCTTGTTTTGGGCCGTACCAACCCTTTTTCATTTCATCAGATAATATCATCCTTAATTAGCTTTATTCAAATGAGCCTGTGATCTTCGATCTTATTATTATCAGTTTATTCAGAATGGGTTGGTCATAGTAATAGAAGGCTTACTTAATTAGTCACTGGTTTACAGAATCATGAACATAAATTTGCACCATCTACTAATTATTTAACCTGATGGCCGGAAAAACAAAACATTACTAGGGTTTTCTTTTTCTGCCTATTTCTTTGGGCCCGAAGGCTTTCCTCTGTATTTAATTAATATATATCGTATATACGCATGCATGTATATGGTTAGTGAAATCCACCTACTAATCCCGATGCTTCTCTCTGTCAAATTGTCTTCATTGCCCCCCTGCAAATAGGGATTAGAATGAATTGGAGTTTCATACGCATATTCATTCCAACCTTTTCGTGGGTAGACAACCTGTCACCACCATACCCTCTTTTATATGTACATGAAATATTGACTTTCTTTTTAAATTTTCGTTTATTTGAAAAATTATATGTACCCATATATGTATTAATTGAATTGGGAGATTTTTCACCTACCACTCTGGACCACTGACAATGACATATGCCTTTAACAGTTGGAGAATATAATATATATATATATATATATATATATAAGGTCTCTGAATTGGTGATGATATTCCTAGAGATGCCTTATGATTTCCTTTGTACAGTTTCTACTGTTTTGGTGTTATATTGAAAGTCACACGGTCTCTAATTCACTAGTAATTCATGAGTTCCAACAACAGAGGACCACTTTATTGCTTCGAAATGGAAAATTCAAGCATGAATGATGGAGTTGGAATTCATCTTTTCCAGTTGGAATTTTTGTGTGGGGATTTATCTTGTACTATAGTCTGAAAATGTGGAGACCATATCAACTTTCTTCGTACCCTTTTGTGAACAAATCTTTGGGGGTGGTAGGGGCACCTACTCATCACCTAACTCTTTGAAGTTAGAAGTTATCCTTTCTTATGAGTACATGTATGTGTGGGAGTCATCGATCAAAACCCAGAAAATTAAGTCACATGTCGATGACAATCTCTTTCAACCTTTGACAAAATGTTTTGTTACTGTAGTTTTCATAACAACGTAACATTGGCCGTTGAGAATAATATCTAAATAAGATTTGTCGGTTATAATTTTATTGTTTCTTATTCAATTTTTCAATACGTGCACAAGACCCATTTGTTTCCAAGTAAGCCCGGCATTATTATCACTAATTTAAGCAAACTCTTGATAATACTGTTTTTGCTATTAATTACAAGACTTATTACGCTCCTCATCATGATTCTTAATTAATATAGAAAGTTTTTTCATCGAAGATATTAACTTCTTTCCTAAATGTCTCTTGTTTTGATATTATTCCCTGATTAACTAAACAACCTGTTCTAATTCATGAATTCCATTGATGTAAATTCTAAAATTTTATGAATTACTTTAACCATGTAAAGTTGTTGATAGATACTAACTCCATTTTTAACCATGCTCTTAGGGTTTTGATTCTCAGCTTTTATGTTGTATGGGGCAAATCTAATTAGGAGAACTCTACCTTATATTTTTCATATCATAGGAAAACCAAAAAAAATTGTCAATAGTGTTCTTTTTCCCATTAGAATTTGTCCACCATGTAGTTATGCCTTCATAATCAAGTGGAGAATCAGACAGTAGCACAAGATAATGAATTATAATGTATGATAACAACATATAACAATTTGCACAATTAAATGCTGCTTCGCTGATCATTGCACAACATATGTGTATGTAATGCCGCTATGCTACCTAAACGCATCATTATACATCTATCTAGCAACCTTTTCTGAGATATATATATTTGGAAATTAAATTAACTCGGGGCATAAAACAGATGTTAGTTATGTATTTTGCTAGTATTATACGAGTTGCATGTACTATCTTCGGTCCTAATTATAAAACTTTATTTGTAGTCTACAAACGAGATCTTATAATTAGGATAGGAGATAGTATATTCAATGAGAAATTGAGGACCTTATTTAAAAAATAATGAAAAATATATTCATTTGCAGCTACAAAGAGCCATGCAAAACACACATCAAATGATCGGCCGAAAAATTAGCTTGCGAAAATAACATATATAGAAGTAAAATGATCAGAGTCCATGGAGATTAATTAGAAACCTCGTTAAGTAATATGGAATTGATTTTGATATGCATAGAAGATGAGGTCTCTTTATTTACAGTATTTCTTTTCTTAAATTTTACTAATTTCCGATTACCAATGCCTTGAACCATCTACATCATAAACAAACAAGTTTGAGGGGCAGTCTACTCTTCAATTGCTTTTCCAAGTACGTTGACTTTAAGGACGGCGATTTCAATTTGAATTTTGATAAATTTTGGCGGAGCTAGGAGGTTAATTTCATTACAACTAGTAGTACTACGGCTAAGATTTTTTAGCTGACTTAATTGAATGAGTATCTTTATTAATATCACTACCATATGCAATTTCAGTATTTAGGGAGCATTTGGGAGTTCTAAGAAGCATTTTTAAAAACTATTTTAACGCAAATTAAACAAAACTCTTCTCACGTAAAATTTGTCTACAAATTATCTTGTTAAGGTTCTTTTGATTTAATTTAAATTGTTATTTTGTTCCCCATCAACCCTTCATTCCTTTGCAAGCTTAAAGCAGAGACATTTTGTCCTCCTGTGTCTCCCAACTTTCTGCCTAGCTAAGCTTCAAAAGGCTATGCCCTTACAGCCCAGAGGCAACTATGCACTGCCATAAGGGAGTGCTTTAGTTGGGCCTTTACATTATTCGTTTCGAGATCATCTGACTTGGAATTTGATCCATTCCCAGCAATTCCCTCTCCAATTCGCTGGTTTTCAAGTGGATCCATTATTGGAGTTAAATCTGAGGAAGGGATTTAACGAATGAAAATTTAAATCCCTGCTGAAAAATACATTCTTATTTAATACTAGTACTCCCTCTGATTGAAGATATAAGCTAAGATTAGCTCATTTATGTCTATCAAGTATCAAGAAATGAAATAAACTGTTTAAAACAATAAATGTATAAGTGTGTGTGTATATATATATATATGTATATTTTCTAAATATGTCCTTATTTATTAAATCTTCTCTCTTCTATTCACATTGTTTAAAATACCTTTCTCTCTTCTCATACCTAGTAAACTAACCACTCTTTTGTAATTAATGCCATCAATAACTAACAAAAATTAAAAAACATATGTTAGGGGTAAAATTGGAAAATTTTATTAAATGGTTAGACAAATTTGAAATGTTATCTTATAAAAAAAAAAAAAAGTCCCTCAGCCAATGTTGGCTTATATTTTGAACCAGATAGAGTACCTAACAATATGTCGAACAAAATTGTTGCTCATAAAATATACTCCTCTGATCCTTAATATAGGACTCAATTGTTGAGTTGGTTTTTGTCTAAATATAAGATCATTTCTCATATTTATCAATTTTCTTTAAACTACCCCTATGGATACTCCCTCAACCATAATCAAGTAGAAGAGAGGGGGGTATTAAAAAAGATGATTATGGTGTTTTAGAAAAAATGTGTTACATTTCTTATAATTAACTAACTTACCTAACTTTCTTACTCTAATTAAATTAGTTAAATGAGTCTTATATTTAGGATCAGATGGGTACTTTTTTCGTTGGCCCGAAGCTAATAAACTATACTTAGTGCCTGGAAATATTTTTTTTTTTTCAACGAATCTTTTGAGGGCGAGACACATTACCTTGATAGAGAGTAACGATGATGTGAAATAGCAGCATCTCCACTAAATGTAGTCTGGAAAGAGCAATTTTTTGCAACAAAAATTACCAATTTAGATACTAGTTTTTTTTGTAAATTTTTTTGCATTGGCCCTCTTCTTATTAATTACTGCCGTTCTCATTAATAATACTGAGCAAACTTTTTGACCCAAAAAAAAAAAGATGAACAAACATGTCTATAGAGATAACGATGAAATTTTTTTTAAAAAAAAGTCATAAAAATAACACAAAATTAAAATGAGAAAGTCCGTTACCAAACACGCCCAAGCAAGAAAGCAACCGAGCTTCAAACGATAAGCCGCCACGTGACCACGTCGACTGATTCAAAGCAGCGGGAATGCAGCGTGTGTCATCTCAAGACATCATCAGAGTACGACTTTCAGGCAAGTCGGGATTTTTCCTCATGAATATTCACCCATTTGAGCAGTTACTCCTCTCCCAAAAGTCATTGCCCCTTGGACGGACGTCAACGATTCAACTGCGCAGGTCGTCTTCAATCCAGCACTAGCTTTGAGGATAGCAAAAGATTCTGTCATCTAGTTTTTTGTTGGGGTCTCGGAATTACAAGGGGACTTCCGCTAATACTCTCAGTTTCGACTCGATCCCGTTACTCTCTATACTATGGCTGTGAAATCTTATCTTATGCCTGGGTCTACAAATTCTCAAGTTGGCTGGCATAATTTATTGGCTAAACATCCCGGAACTGCATTGAACTGGGGGAGTAGACAGAAAAGGGTCGGCAGTTGGGGAAATAAGGTGATTGTGCGGATGGTTGATCAGACGAGCCATGATATGCCCAAGGGATTGTCGAAAGATTTAAGCTCGCTTCCAAGTGTGTTATCTCGTCTTTTATCATTTTATTTTATTGTGATACATTCTAGTACATAATTCCCCTAAAAATGAAGTCAACGTGCATAAATACTGCGCATTTGACTTATATCATTCCTGTCACTAGTCCATGGTTGTATATTTCTGACCTAATGATCGACCTTGGCATTGCCCGTTTATAGAATTGTCTTGAAGTGGACTGACTACTTCATGCATGAATGGTTATTTGTGGGGGAGGAAAAAATAAAGGGTTGGGGGTGGTATCAGCTGCCAAGATAGGTACTACATTTTTTGGCCATCAGATGTGTACTGATTATCGAGCCTGAGGTGACTGGAGTTTATGGACACTCTTCCCCGTCATGGAAAAGAACTATTGACCTCTCTCGTGGAGTGCCGTAGTAAACAAATCGCCTTTGCATGTGAAAGCATGGTATAGGAACTTGATTAATCTGCTAGGTGAAAGAGTTTATAAAATAATTTTCTTTCCTTCCTGTTCTATTTAGTGCTTATTCTAAGTGCAAAGTAGGCTGATGATTTGCAGGAAGAAGGCTTCACAATGTGTTTTAGGGACTAGGGAGCAGATCACTAATGTTAATGTCAGATTTAGAGAATTTTTTTCTTCCTCAGAGAACCAGAAATTCATGAGCATGGAACCTTTTCATTTTCCAATATAATTATGGAACTTGTTGATTGAATATTACTTCTAAATATCATCAAATATAGATTAAGAATAACGTCTCCCAAATTGAGTGAATGCCTGACATATCCGTACTCTTGCTATACTCTTCATGAAATGAGTTTCTTGTTTTTCATTATGGTCACTCCCTTGAATTCTGTGGGACATCGTTTAAAATCTTTTTTCGGGTGTCTTGAAAAGAAGTTCATCAACTCTTTTTAAGCAGTCCTGCACTGTTGCATTGTCATCTTATTAAATTATCAATTTTTGTCATGTGTTTCATTTATGTATTCTGTCACGAGTTTTAATTTCAGATTTCATGATTTGATCTCTGTTTTGTTTGAACACTTGTTGCAGAACCATTGTCTGTATCTGATATTTTGGCTGCTTCTGATAATGGTGCAGAAGTTCGAATATCATTCAAGGTATGATGTTTGTGATGATAGCCATTGTATTTAATGTACTACTTGTAATTCCTTATTGTTTGGGTTACTGAACTAGGGGGTACCAGGTTCATACAGCGAGGATGCAGCAGTCAAAGCCTACCCTAACTGTGAGACAGTTCCATGTGGTGATTTTGAAGCTGCTTTTAAGGTTTGATTTAAGTTCAATCTTTAAATCTCTGGAATCCAGTAAAAGAAACTGGATAAATCTCAACCAGCACACCTTTTTTTCCTTCAAGCAATTAAGGGCTTCAATATCTTTTTGATAACTTTCTCAAGTAATACGTGTTACCATCCTGACCCTTTTTACCCAACCATCAATAATAGAAAAATTGTTTAGCAGGCTGTTGAACTATGGTTGGCCGACAAAGTTATCATTCCCATTGAAAATACTTCAGGGGGAAGCCTCCATCGAAACTATGATTTACTTCTTCGCCATAGGCTGCACATTGTTGGTGAGGTGCAGCTGGCTATTAATTTCTGCCTTCTAGCTCTGCCTGGAGTCAGAGCAGAGTACTTAGAACGTGTTCTAAGCCATCCCCAGGTCAGGCTAATTGTGGCTCTTTTTTCTGCCCTTTCTGATATGTGGTTGTGTCAATTTTTCTTCTTCTTCCTTTTTTTTTTTTTGGCTGCAGGCTTATTTAAGTCTCATTGCATCTAAATCTGAGCAAAAGAATAAAAATTGGTATTCTATTTTGAAAATTATGAAGTTGACTTTGTTTTCTTGGAAATTATAAAGTGTCAAACTGGTCAAAGTTTTTGCCTGAAACTTAGTGAATTGCTGTAAGTATAACAGAAGGCATGATGTTTACTTCTCCCAAATTTGACTATTTAACTCAGTCAATGGTGGGACTGAAGATGTGGACTATTTATTTGTAAGACACAAAAATCTGTAGTAGTTGCAAGATAGCTGTTAACAACTGTGATTCTTGTTTGCAGGCACTTGATCTTAGTGATGCCTTCCTTACTAAATTAAATGTTGCTAGGGAAGGTGTTGATGATACTGCTAGTGCTGCTGAGGTAGTTCCTCCATGCATCTTGGTTGATTCTTGAGTTTCTGAACATCTCAGTGACAAATAATTCATTTTTTCTGTTACTTAATGCTCTCTTGTCATCAGTATGTAGCTTCAAATGGCCTGTACAAAGCTGGTGTGATTGCAAGTCGTCGGGCTGCAGAAATCTATGGGCTTAATGTACTTGCAGAAAGAATCCAAGTAAAATCCCTTACCAGAAACAACATATGTTTAATTGATATGTTCTCATTACCTTTTGCCTGATTGCCAGCAGTTATCCATTTGTTTATTAGTCAATGCATCTATTATTCCGATGCTTGATGATGATAAAAAATTGAAAGTTAAACAACTAAGCATTGAAATTTGAAGGATCGCAATCTAGATGCTTGATTTTGTTAATGTGCACTGGTTCAAATGATGGTTAAAATAGTTCCTGTCTTATGATCACGTTACTCTTAACATTGAAGAAGCGAGAGAAAATATATTGTGTATCCATGTTGATGGTTTTTAGGTGAGATACAATCACTAGTTGCATGGACCTGCAAAGCATTTTTCGTTAGACAATTCTTAAGTCTCTATAAATTGATTAAAACCTGTCAGCTTTTGCGCACAATCAGCCTGCTGTAACGCATGACACCAGTTGAAGAATTGTTCAACAAGATAAAAAGTTAATCAGTACCAAAAAACCATATACGGTTAGAATGGAATAATGCATCAGGCATGTCCTTGTTATCCATTGTCATAAATTCTTACTTGATGAGCTGTTTAATAATATATATAGTGCATCTTGAACAGGATGATCCTGAAATTATCAGTCGTTATCTAATTCTTGCGAGGGATCCAATAATATCAAGAGCTGATAAGCCGTTTAAGGTAAATATTCCTTTAACCTGTCACTATAATCTTTATTTTCTTACAAAATCCCTGGAATCAAACATCATCTATTAATTTCAGACAAGTATAGTGTTTAGTTTGGACGAGGGTCCTGGGGTATTGTTTAAGGCATTGGCAGTGTTCGCGTTGAGGGACATCAATTTGAGTAAGGTAATGTTCTGAAGGGGGGAAAAAAAAACTTTCCTTCACTTAGGCTACCTCGTTACATTACAAGTTTTTACAATGTTTAATGAATATTTGACTTATGAACTCAGATTGAAAGTCGACCACAAAGAAATCGACCATTAAGAGTGGTTGATGACTCCAACACTGGAACTGCGAAGTGAGTAATATTTTTGAGTTCTGTATCTTGCACATCATTTTGTTGCATATTAATTGGCTGCTTCTGTCTTGTTTTCCATTGTTTCTGGGTGAGAGGGGTTATTATGTTGTGCCTTGGGTAAGAAAGGAAGGGATAGCTGAGGTGAGTTGCTTAGGAAGAAAAGAGACCTGTCTTGGCCATCATGATTGTTATGCTGCCTATACTGTCTTTTGTGCGACAATGGGATGGAGATTGAATGCTTTCTTTCCAGTCTCTAGCGGGAAAAATTGGAGAAGGTGATGAATTGGTGAAACTGAAGAAATGTTTTTTTTTTCTTTTGAAAAAAAAAATGGTAAAATGCAGATTAGATAAAAAGGTTATAGAAAAAGGCTTCCTTCAGATTTGCGCCATGTAAAGTGACATTGGAGGCTATTCACATGGATTTTTAAATGAACTTCGTATGCAACATTTTTTTTTTTTTGGTGGTGCCCTATGCAAAAGCAAATAATGCAAGATTTTTATTTCTATATGTCCCCATGCTATTTTTGAGGTTGAAGGCACTCTTGCATTTTTATTTATTTACTTTTTTGTTACTAATTCAAATATTTTGATAACATGTGATGTTTTCTGATTCAGGTATTTTGACTACCTTTTCTATATTGATTTTGAGGCTTCTATGGCAGAGCCCCGGGCACAAACTGCTCTAGGACATCTGCAGGTATGGTAGTAGTTATTTTCTTTTTTCCTGACCAAAATTGAATTGAAGTTATGCTTTTTGTTCGTAATCTCTGATTAGACATTCCTTGTGGAAAAGCTGAGTGAGACTTTTGGGTGCTTTCCTATACTTAAGCGTTTGAGTTTGACCCGGCCTTCATTGCTCCACCATAACTTTGCTTGGCAGCCTACAAATTATCCTCTCATCTGCCTATGATAAAGGGTTCATGCTTTGTCTACAATGATGTTTTGCTTTCTTAGGCAGCTTGTCTTGTCTGATACCATGCATCCTCCATTCATACGAATATTATGGTCAAAAAACAAAAGTCATACAAATAATTATCAGTCCTTCGATTTGCTTGTGGTGACTTCTGAGTGCCCTATTTTGAAAAACATCCCTGCAGGAATTCGCCACATTCATTCGAGTTCTGGGCTGCTATCCTATGGATGCAACCACATAGCTGCATCTAGTTGAAGAACTTTCCGTTGATGCCCATGCTTAAGCCAGACTGAAAGAGGGTCTTTGGAGGGAACTTGCTGGCTAGATTGTAAGATGGCAATGGTTGATCAGACTTCAAGATATCATGAGATGCAACTAAATTCTGATAGAAAATCTGAAGATGATCTTCTTGAGGATGATCAGAGGTAGAAGAATTAAGCCAAACTAGAGTGAGGCTCTGATATGCATTGTTTTGTGTATAATGCAGGAACTAAAGTAGGGTTTGAATTTCAAGTTAGTTCATGCTAAACCGAGCCACAAATAAGACAAGGGGAAAAATACACCTGATGCATAGTTTCGTACTCCGGTTACTTTACTCAATAAATACATGCGTAGCCTGCGATTTTGATTGATACCAAAGACAGACTGTTTGATATGCAAAATATCATGTTTAGAAAGGAGTGAATTTATGAATAAAATTGTATTTGTGTCTTTATTTGAAAAACAACTCGGTAGGCCGTGTTTAACTGTGTATTAGAGCTGAGGGACCAAGTGTACTATTATTCGTGTCTTGTGACTTGAATGGCTTGAGCACGAGTTTTATATTTTATATTGATAAAAATGTATATTATTTGCTAAGAGTGACAAGGGTAATTTATTTTTCTTAGTGTTGCAAAATTATTTCTCATTATACAATAATGAAAATAAATTATTTTAAAATTATGTTGGCAAAAGATGGAACAAAGACGGAACCTTCAAAATCATTATACTACCTCCAGTCCTTATTATAAGACCCCGTTTGACTTTTTGTTTGGTTCTAATTATAAGACCCCAATCTATTTTTTCTTTCATATTTATGCATTTTTTTCCAAGATAGTCCTTCTAGTAATGATAGTTCTAATCAATACATTTAATTAGCAAGGATATTTTAGGAATGACAACACTTATTTATTACAAAGAACTAATTTAACTTACTTTCTTAATCTCCTCAAATAAGCAATTGGGTCTTATAATTAGGACCGGAGGTAGTATTGTTTTATTATTTATTGGCATGATTATTCATGAATATTTTCCAATTTATGTGTATCTACACATGAATTAAGGCTGGCTAATATGATGATTAAAAAAAAGGCCGGTTAATCCAAAAATGATTGACGAGAATTATAAAACCCGGGACTGTTGAAGGCGGTGGTTATGCTTTTACAATTTCCCTGTTGTGATTAATTTCTTTTGGAAAAGAAATATTTGTGAATAGATACTTTATTGCAACCAGAAATAAAGTATATATTCTTTTTTTTTTTTAGCATTGAATATATCCTTTATTTGAACATGGAAAAAAAAAAAAAAAGAATGTTATACTCTCCATCTTTAATATAGGATCTAATGAAGAAGTTGATGCTAGTCTAATATATAAAATATATTTCACATGTTTATAAATTTTTTTCAAATTAACTTTATTGATATTTCTCTAACAATAATCAAGTACGAGAAGAAGGAAATAAATTAAAAAAGATGTTTAAAATACTAATTTAATTAACATTTTTAATATACCCAGATCAATTAATTGAGTAAAAAAAAAAAAGGGGAGTACTTTATTGTTAGTTGCATCAAATTGATCCCTGATGTAGAAAAGCGTGACCTTGTGAGGATATTTTATCACATTTCAGCATTTTTATTTTGAGTAGTCTTAAAATCAACTTAACTTCTTTTATTGTCATGCTTCGAATGAGATCACATGAAGAAGTGTTTGTTACTTTGTTAAAAGTCCAACTTTTCCCCTTTACCAAGGGGTTTTATTCCTCCCAGTTGAGCCCCTAGAAACCACAAGAGTGATCTAACATACTATAAAATGGGCTATCGAATCCCCACACTAATAAACAAATCAAATTCGGACAGCTCTTTGCTTAGTGAAGGGAAACATTACAAAAGATGAATCGATACACTCGTGTTTGGCTTTTTCTCTGAAAAAGTTTGTGCCATGCTGAGTAATACCAAACCTTTTACCCATGGGGAAGTCCGGGAACCATGTTCTATAATATTACTTCCTACGCTGATGCCATGTCCAGATTCAATGAATGCGATGACTTTACGCCTTTCGCCTTTTCGTAGGTCCCCGATCATATCATTATTATTATGCTCTCAGCTTACCTGTGACAGAGGGAAAGAGTAGCAAGAGACGGACCCAACCTTCATGTAAACTTGTTTTCTTCTGCTCCTTCACCCACTTCATCTTCAACCTATGTGATCAATGGTGCGTGTCCCTCTGCATAGCTCTGCTTTGTGGGTAATATGCTTCTTCTTCTTCTTCTTCCTCTTCTTATTTGGCCGTGAAGGTACTAAGCTTAATTCATACATGTATCTGGGTTTCTCTTAAACCCAGTACAAAAAAGCTTCCTTTTCCATGATCTCTTCCGATCTGGTACAAAGTAAAGATTTTTTTTTTAATACTCACATTCCTTGCTTTGTGCCTGCTTTTTGCTCATATTATGCTCTGTGGAGACTCTTCAGAGAGTGAGTATTTCCCAAAGTCACAGAAACTGTGATTCCAAAGTAATGATCAGTGAGTTTGTTTTGAATTGATCTGTTCATGTCGGTCATTTAGGACTTTGTGCAGACATTTTTGGTTCTTAAGATTAGAGATTACCGCAACATTAGTATGATTGATCAATCAGATGTGATATCCCCTGAAGATTTCGGACATGACCCATTCAAACAAGAGAGTCAATCTGATCTTTCAGTGCTTTTATCCGAATATTGTTCGTCACATGCCAAATCCAAAAAATTGAAAGGTTTATTGAATTGGTTTATGGATAGCTCTTCCTCCTCTCTTTTCTTTCCATATCCTATTTTTCACCGTTTGTTAAGGGGCAAAAATGATAAACTAGACGTCTTTTGAATCCCGATTTGGTTGGTAACAAGGAGATTTCTTAATTAAAATGCTTCAACATCTGTCGGAATTAGCCAAGATATATGGTCTCAAATTCTTAAGATCATTGGTCAGTGGTGGATTTTGTGTACGGAAAGAGATTTGACTGAATGTTACTTTCATGGATGAAGACTTGAAAGGTTGATTAAGTATCATTACTTTTTAGTGAGATTAATTATCATTAATTTAAGCTGAGGGATAACATTCTGCAAACTGAGCTGTTTATAAATAATATGAGAAGTTAAATTTTGGAAAACAAGAGAACAAACCCAATTATTTTGCTTATAGAAAAGGCCTTTCCAATTATTTTAGGCCACCTGGATAACGTATCAATATATTATTCACAGATTGCATCTTCGGCTGCAACGCGGAGGCTTTATGAATTATTGGTCTTTTGTATAACTTATTTAAAGTTGTACTAAACCAGCAATTATCACCCGACTATAAAATATTTTAAAACTTGTCATGCCCATTATGAATTGGAACATTTAATATTTTAGTCTCCAGAATCTACACATTGAAAATGAGGTTTGGTTCTTAATGGAAATCAGTATATATTGACTTGGCATGACTTCTTAGTGCTTTTTCTGTGATTATTTATTAGTACTTAAAAAACAAAAAACGAAACTAAACTGAGGGCGAGGTGGAAGATTTTTTAAACTATTTCTTAAGTTCTTAGGTGGAATAAAGATACGTAGATGTATTTTTTAAGCGGTCAATTTCAAAAGCAATTTTTACAATATCTGATTCAGATACTTGCTCAATATAAATGTACAACTAGTGTTACTGACGCTGCCCCTTAATTATATATGGGTTCATTGCAGTGAAGATGAAGATGCAACTCTGATCAGAAAATGTTACCCTGGAGGGCTTTTAAGTTCCCATATTAGCTCTTCCTGCAAGCACTAAACGAGGATTTCTGGAGGTTGCTCACTCTTACTCATGAATATGTCATAATTGCATTGCCGTTCACACACCAGACAGGTCCTTCCCTGGCATCTTGGGATGGAGTTAAAATCAGAAAATTTTATGTTGAGCAAGGTCAGAGTTGATACAAGTAATAATGAACTGGCATCTTCAGAACATGGGAGCTTCCTCTTGCACAAGACTTTTTGTCCCAGATATGATTTAGAGCCACTGAATATTACTCTGAGAAATGAGATTTTACTGACGGCATTTACAGAAACTCCTCGATGATAATGGTGAAAGCAATTTGCAACCTCCTGCGTAAAACCAGGGTCACAAGCTACTAGCAGAATCTGAAGCAACTCGGTAGCTGATACCTATAGTATTGAGTGTGCCTCATAAAGATCGTACGTTCTCTACTATGAGAGAGTTCCCCTTGGCAACTTCAAAACCTGTCTTTGAATTTATTGTTGGAAGACAGTGAAACTAAATTTTATTTTTAGCGTTAAGTCAGACACAGTTTTACGTCCTCTCAAAATAGTATTGCTGATAGTTTTTCCTCCTTTCACTTTAAAGCAGAATGTAATAAATTCAAGTTTATGGGACTGAACTGTAAGAGCTCAATTGCTCGGTTCACGTGATAAGTAATTTTTCTTAGTTTCATGTTTCTTCATTTCCACCCTCCATGATTCAACCAGCGCAATTTCCAGAAAGCGACATCCTCGCGTTAGCCCGTTCAATACAACCATGGGATTACCAATGGATTGTGTTAAGTTTCTGAGACCCTGTACTCTGATATATCCTCGGGGGGTTCTCTTGCCACTACACTGGCTCAGAGATGATAATTTTAAGCGCTTAATTATAAATCTAGAGCGGACCACTGTATATAGGATTATAGGAAAAATTCTTAAGGGCCACATTATTACACTCTTCTCCAACCAATCCGTTCATTTTCACCCTCAACTATACCCACACATCCATACATGACATGTCATTAATCAGAGCATTCGACAAAGGAAGCTCAAATCCAGTATTGGAATGTCCGCAGAGCAATGGCACGCGAGTGGAGAAACAATCCCAAACTACCTATTAGTAACGAGGAAAAAGAAAATGAAAGGGAAGGTCTTATTTACGAGCATAAACACTTTAAAAACCACAAGCTTGTCCAAATTGTACCATTCAGGCTTTCTTCCGCTTGGCCGGTGACGTAAAGAGAAATCGATAGACGGAAGCAGCCAGAGTAGCCCCAATGAAAGGACATATCCAATAAACATAAAACTGCTCCCAAGTGTTGTGCCTATTATTGATGTAAGCCCATCCAAATGCATTAGCTGGGTTCATTGAAGGTCCTGTGTACGCAGAACCAGGAATAACAAGAGAGACCGTGGTCACAGAAACCAAATACACCTTCAAAAGAGGGTTCTTAGGACCTTTAAGAAAAATAAGAATAGCCAAGTTGAGAGCAAAAGTCAGCGCGCCCTCTGCCATGGCCCCAGTATGCAAATCCACCTTCAAGTAAGGACCTTTAAGCATGGATTTGTACTGGGTGGGGATCAGGTGCAGAATAGCATGAGCTCCGGCGACACCACCTGCTGCCTGAGCAGGAAATCGGACGGCCATGGAGGTCAGAGAGGAGTCGGGTCGGAGGCCGGCGGCATAAAAGGAGACGGTGGTGGAGGGGTTGAAGCTAGCGCCGCCGAGGATTCTGCCGATGAGACTGATAGTGAAGACGAGAATGGTGGAGATGACGGTGGTGATGAAGAGGCCTGCCAGTGAAGAAGGGTGGAGGTTAAGGAAGGAGGCGACTTCGGAAGTGAGGATTCTGAGAGTTGGGACGCTAAAAACCCAGACTGAGGTTAGAATGGCGTCTCCTATTGCTGACTTTACCAACCCCATTCTTCCTCTTCTTCAGAGAAGCAGTGGCAATGGCTAGGAAGCGGAAATCTGGACTTTCAAAGAAAGAGGTGTTGAAGGTCCTGGAGCGAGGAAGCAGAGCTCCTTGTAGTGCTCCCCCCCACTACGCTACACGTTACAACTTACAAAAGACACTATGGATGAAAAATATATGGTGCTTTATTATATAACCCATCAACCTGGTATGAATTAGATTTTTTTTAAGATTATCTTATTTAAAATTACATTAGTATAACTTTTATAACTTTGTAAAATACTTATAATTTATAGAACTCTTTTGGTCCTATTCACAAGGCACTTCTAGCATATTTCACACAGACTAAGAAAAACCTTAAATTTCATTAACTCTCATTTAAAATTTAATAACTTTTCAACTTTATCCCTATTTAATATGCATTATACCTTACATAAACAAAGTCAACATAATAATAAATGAGAGGTAAAATTATACATCTATGTAAAAAATTTCTCTCAGTGTCTTATAAATATGACCAAAAAATATCTTCTCTCTCTGTTATATAAATAGCACCAGAAGAGTATTAAACGTAAATAAATTTAATTTTTTTATTTTTAAACAAAATTAATGACTGATCTAATTTAAACGGGAAAAAAAAAACATATAAGTGTCCCTTTAGCCTTTTTGTGGGTGTGTGTGAGAGAGAGAGGGGGGGGGGGGGGAGGAAGAAGTAGCTCTTTTTTATGGTCGGAGGAGATATGCAGATCCCATGGTGGGCCGGTGAAGACTAACCATGAATAATAAATGCACGGGAGAATTGCACTAAGCGCTGGGAATATATACCTTTCATGACAAGTGTATAAAATAATGATTAACAATGAGTTTTATCAAGAAATAATTTAAATACAAATAATTAATATAAATATTTTTTAAAAATAACATTTATTTATTATAAGTATCTAACTTAACTAAATTTTTTAATATTAGTAAATTAGTTATTTATTTTTATATTAAATATTAAGCCCCAAATTAGTAAGTATATAATGGCGAATTGTACCATGCGCATGTTTCCGACTGATTCGTTCACGGGAAATAGGAAATTCCATGATTCAAATTTTCTTTTACTTATATTTAATAATTTTTATCTTAAATTTAGTTTCCAAATTTAACAAATTTCTAATTGAATCATAAAACCAATTTGAAATTTGTGAATATTTAATATTTTATCATATTGTCCTTTACTCTGTTTTTTTTATAAAAAAAAAAACCAAAATCACCTCTCACTCCTGTTCGAGATTGGTTTCCCTGGCCTTGTCAAGAACAAAGCTCTGTAATAATTTTATTGAAAATTTTTTATTATAAATAATTAATAAAAATATGTGAATAATTAAATTGATCTTGTTAATTTTTTTAAAAAATTTATAATTGAGAAACAGTAAGGTCTCTTTTTCCTTTGACCCGTATAAGGTCTTGTAATTTTATTAGAGGATATAAAGAATAACAGAGAATAACAATAAAGGTTTATTAAAAGATGCGACTTTATTATAAAAGTCTTGTAAAATAAATCATCCGGATCCGGTTTCATAATTTGATTGATTACGTGCTATCTTAAACTAGTCTTAATTAATTGCGGCCAAAAAAATTATGTTCATTTATTATTTTAGACTTTTAAATTGTAAGAAATACTACTTTCAGTTTTTAATATAAAAACTAATTTAATGTTTAATTTGATTCTAAATATAAAATTTTAATTTATTTTATTTTTTATGTTTACTTTATTTTAATAAATATAGTAATTATACATGTTAAATATTTTATCAAATAATAGTTTTAGATAATATTTTAAAAAGATAATATCTATTTGTTATAAAAAATTAAATATTATTTATTTCTCATTAATTTCATTGGATAGTCAAGGACTAGTTGGTGTCTTGTTGAATGTCTCTCCTTCTAACATAACTCCGCCGTGGACCCCAGCCTCCGGCCTCGTGCCTTTTTTCTGTTTTTTGTTTTGTGCCAAAAGTCTCCGTCCTCGTGGTTGTTAATTTTATTCACGTGTTCATTCATTTCTTAATTTATGGACCTCATTGTAGCAGTATATATATATTACTAGTTATAAGAACTTATTTATAGATTATAAGTAATGTCTTACAGTTAGGACTGGAAGTAGTGTCTAATATGAATTCCAGAGGCGTTTAATTGTTAATTGTTTTATTTATGAGAAAATTATTATAAGATGCCGGAAAGAAATATAATCACAATAAGAAAATCCCATGATAAATAAGACATTTTAATGTAGAAAATAAGTAGAAGTCCACGTGCTCCCTTGTTTGACCTTATCATTATTTTTCTTTATTTATTTAATAGATAGTTTGACCCTTGAGAAAAACATACTCCCTCCGTTCCTTATTATAAGAGACGAATAACCGAATTACGTTGATCAAAAAAACAGTTAAAATTAGTTAAGAACAATCATATAATTTTTTTTCCAAAAATGCCCTCATTAATAAGGAGAGAGAGCATGAGAGAGAATAATTAAATTATTGAAAGAAAGAGAAGTGAGAGGGAGAGAGAGTGTGAGTTGGAGACAAAATATGGGTAAAATAGGAAATCAACACAAAAAAGTAGAGACAACTTTTAAGTGTCTCTTATATATAGGAACATGCCATAAGCATCAAATGTCTCTTATAATAAGGAACGGAGGGAGTATCATCCACGCTTCCTCTGTTTTTAAACATTGATCACCATAGATTTTCGCTTTGTTTTCAAACAATTGTGCCTTTCAAATTTCAGCAACGCGTTTTTTTTTTTTTTTTTGCCTGGGACCAAACTCAACAAGGCATTAATGAAAGAGAGGAAAAATAGAAACTCTGTGACCTAACATGCTACTAGTACTAATGACAATACTTGAAAGATGATCCTGAGTGCCTCAAATTTCGAAACATCGTCCGTGTTCACGCTTGGAAGCTGTGGCTTCCTAAAATTTTTATTCCTGGATCCGCGTATAAGCATATTATTAATAGGGATAAAGTAGCATTTAAACATGATTTTATTTTTTCAAGTATATCTAACATTCTGATTTTGTGTGTGATGCATTCAACATTCTAATACTATTTTCTTATAATATATCAAATAGCCTGATATTATTTTTTAGTTACATACAATATCTTAATTTTAATTATGATTTATGGTGCTGCGTACAATATAAATAAGATCAGGGTGTTAAATACATTTAAGATATACAAATACATGCCAGAGGATATTCCTGTATTAAAAGTGCCTTTTGGACTTTTGTTTTGTGCATGTACTTGACGGATATCTAGTGTTACTTTCTGTTCTTAACATAAGATCTCGTTTGACTTTTATTTTGATCTTAAATATAAAAACCTAATTCACTTTGTCTCTCATATTTATATATATTTTTCCAAGGTAGTCCTTTTAATAATGGTAGTTCTAGCCAATACATGTGATTAGTAAGGATATTTTAGAAAAAAAAAACAACACATATTTATAATGAATAACTAACTTAATTTATTTTCTTAATCTTTTCAAATTAGTCAACCAATTCTTATATTTAGAACAAGATACAGTATATAACTTGGTTTATATTTTTTCGTGGCCAGTAACTATATGGTTTGGTTGTTGAATATACCAATTATCTATACATGTTGGTTACTTGTAATGGAGGGCATAGAAGGCACCATAGAATTATGGTGCCTCGGTGATAATTATACTCTCGATTCATAATATTTTTTGTCCACTCCTAAATAAAAAAATTATTTAAAGGGCTTTCTTTTACCCTAAATTTAATACTTCTATATATTGTTTCTAAATTTATAATTTTTTTTTTCAAACGATTCCTATTGATCATGCATTTCTATATGTAAATGGAGTTTTTGTCAATAAGAATAATCTCCAATACAAATGGTTATAGGAAATATTTCAGAAAAATCTACACATTTTTTTCATATAAACCAGCTAATCTAATTTCATTTCATTAATATTTGTAAATCAGTACTTAGCCCATACGTTAAAGATGGGAGATAATACCACGGGAAATTATCATTATAACTGTCAGAAACTAAACAAGTGATCCCAAAAATATCTCAGTATCTTTCCCGAATGGCGAATGCAGCAATCTCGGCCTAAATCTCAGTGCCCTCTTTCTTCGGGAGTAATAAGAAAGACAAGGAATTTCACACCCACACGATGATCCCAACTTTAAAATGCGTCTCAAGAGCACCACTAGCAATTAAACAGAAACCAAACCAGTGCAGCATAAGAACACCGCTGCTATAATCCACCAAAAGGTAGGTTCTAAATCAGACTGTTCCATCTTAATAGCCTAACGCGAGGAAGCTGATGCCAGGTCACAAAAATGATTTAAATGAGACAAAACAACCAATAGAGCCTCAAGAGAAGAAGTTAAAATCAATTTTCCTCATCCACCCAATTCCGTTTCGATTCGGCCATCCAAATTGACAGATGTGAAGCCATAAACATTGAACGAACGTCAAACTGAGGCTTGCCAGGTTGCTTGCTTTGATAAGAACGCTTCAAAACCGTTTGGACGTATGTTAATGCAGAGAAGGCTCTTAAACTTCAAGAAATTTACAAATAAGTAATGAACAAAGTTAACAGCACCGGAGTTATCTGTACTGTATAAATATAAATGTTCTGCAGAGAGGTTTATTATAAAGTTTCCAAGGTTCAAAAAATAATTTCCATGTCATAAAGTTTATGGAAATTTTGCTTTATCTTGCCTTTTATCCTCAGCGGCATCCATCTAGCTGCAGACATTGACGATGAAAAATACAAACAAAACTAACAGAGAAAAGGATACGGATTGACCTATATTATTATCTCCGTTTCTTTATATAAAGTTAATTGATTAATTTGAGTAGATTAAAGAAACTAGTTAAGTTAGTTATTTGTAATAAACGAGTATTATCTTTCTTAAAATATTTTTACTATTCAAGTATATTGGTTAGAACTATTATTATTACACAAATTATTTAAAAAATTACATAAATATAAGAAAAAATGAATTGACAAATAAGTATTATCTTTCCTAAAATATTTTTACTAATAAAGTATATTGTCTAGAACTATTATTATT